ATCGTTGCTTATAAATAAATTGACTAAATATCTCTGCAGTCCTGGTTGACCCCTGTTGTATTAGTGACTCGTCATTTTAGCGTTTGTCCCCACCTTTTACGCTTTCAGAAGTGACAAATTAAATACACACCCTGCGGGCCAGAAATAGTTGGAGGTTTTGGAGATTTTTCACTGGAAAAAGTGAAGACTGAGGTAGGAAGAAACAAATGGAAGATTTCTATCTGACGTTGTCTGAAGAACTTGCCGTCGGAAGTAGTGCAAGACTTGTTTTTCAGAGGCACAACAGGAGAACAGGAAAGCCTTGTGAAAGCTAAGGGGAGACATTTTATCTGAGTTTAAGGAAGGACTTCCTCATTGGTGGCTTTGACTCATCTTAAAACAGGAACAGAACACATGAGGGCTCAGTGAGCTCCTTGTCAATGACAATACTCAGGGTCAGCTCCAGGGGATCTGGTAGAAAAACTCAAGAAATGATCTCTTGTTGCGTTAATGCCCTCTTGAGGATTCATATTTTGAGTTGAATCCTCCTCTGACGGCACTTGACTCAGACATTTTGGCAATTCCCAAGGGGGTCTTTGCTTGGTAACGTGTGTTTTGTAATTGGTACAACAACCAGCTGGGAAAATAATTCCTTCGAATTAAAAAAAAAAAAAAAATTAACCCAAACCAGAAAGCTTATGAAACCTCATGTTCAGCTGGAAAATTAAATAATTATCACTAATTTGAGAGGAAATACATGCTCACCGTCTTACACAGATTTATTTCTGATTCCAAAACTCTACTAGGATACTCTACTTCAGCACAGTGTGACCAAAGAGAAGAACATAAGTCAATGAGTTTCAAATAATTTTAGTATCAGAAATAGTGGGAGAGCCTGCCATAAGCAGTGGGAGAGGAACACACCGGTGAGTAGCAGGGACTTCGAGCACTTTCTCTGTACCCTATAGTAGCCAGGGTTAGGATAACAGGAAGCCCTTAGGCCAGCAAAAATAGCACCTGTGAAGGTTGTTCGGGTCTCTCTGAAGGCATGGTTTCAGTAGGGGCTGAGGTTATAGGAAACTACCCAAAATTGTCCACTGGGTACGGAAAACCAGGTTAAAATAAACAATTCTGCCCCTTACCCACTCTATTGTACTTACTATACTGTACCACATAGAAGTCAGACTGTTTTTTCCCTATCTCAGATGATGACTTCCCTGAATTAGTCAGGTAGATTATCATATGGGTTATCATAAGAATCGTTTGTGGGGGTTTTCTCCTAGACCAATGCCTTTCATTTACACACCTCTAAGCTTACCACAAATGATTCTGCCCATCCCTTCAGCGATGCAGTTTCCTCCAATGCTTTCCATATTTTGTTTGACTTCTCGCCAACGAGAAACCTGTACTCTGATCTACCAAACCACATGAGTCTCTCTTCACGGTCTACCAATTGGACTGCTATGTAACAGCACAGAGATGGCAAATATTACTGCCTGATATTTCTTAAGTGGCTCACCAATACTCATTCGTTTATACCTGCTGAGAGCTACGTGAAAGATGTTTCCATTATCTTTTATAGATGAGAGCACTGAGGGACAGAGTGCCTAATAAAGTAGCTAGAGATATCTTCTAATCAACAGGGTTATAAATCTCAGCTCTTAGGATGTCATCTCTTCCTGTAAAGATAAGAACTAAGTCAACCTTAATATGATTCTCTGAAACCCAAGGTTGGCAGTCATCCCTCCATGGAAATATGTTTTATCCCTACCCATTCTTCTGAAGCCCACCTTTCTTCTTATGAACCTACATATACACAGGTTCTGTGAAAGTTGATGTTCAAAACACTATATCCTTTTACATACATTTTATCCTTTTACACATCTCCTTAAGGAATTCACATTTGTTATATTTTATGATAGAAATTACATTCCCAATTTTTGAGTCCATTATTCTACTACGGATTCCATTAATGAGGAACAAAACTTGTCTACTGAGTTCTTTGAATCTAGAACAGTGATACTCAACCTGGAGGTGAGGTAATTTTTCCCCCCAAGGGACATCTGACAATGGACACATTTTTGACTGTTACATCAGGGGTTGGAGTCATATTGGCATGTAGTGGACAAAATTTAGGGATGTTGCCAAATACCCTGTAGGCACAGAACATCCTCCCACAACGAAGAATTATCTGGCTCAAATGTGAAGACTGCGAAACCCAGGTCTAGGGTATTCTGTACATTTAAAATGATTCTGTTGAGGACATTTTATGCACCTCCTCAGTAGTACTATACAAGTTATAAAAACTATGTGCATATAAAATTAAATCTATCAGTATTAATATATCAGTCTGTCAGATTAAGTAGGCTCAATTTATATGTCTTATATTTTATTCCCTCAGAAGGCTGAATGGTTTATAAAGGACACAGATTCATAATTTAGTCTTAAATGTGACTCTTACAGAAAACGGTTATAATAGCAATGAATTCCATTCATTTTTTAAAGTTTTTATTTAAATTCCAGTTAGTTAACGTACAGTCCAGTATTAGCTTCAGGGGGACAATATAGTGGTTGAACACGTGCCTAGAACACCTGTGCTCATCCCAGCCAGTCCCCTCCTTCATCTCCATCATCTATTTCCCCCATCCCCCCCACCCCTGGTAACTACCGGTCTGTTCTCACATTTAAGAGTCTGTTTCTTGGTTTCCCTCTCTCTTTCTTTTTCTATCCCCTTTGTTCATGGTTTTGTTTCTTAAATTCCACATTCGAGTAGAATTTATGGTATTTCTCTTTCTCTGGCTGACTTATTTTGCTTAGCATTATACTCTCCAGCTCCAACCACGTCATTACAAATGGAAAAGCTTTGTTCTTTTTTATGGCTGAGTAATATTCCATGGTGTATATATGCCATTTCTTAGAAGAACATTTAATTTCTTAAGATTTTATTTATTTATTTGACAGAGAGAGAGTGAGCGCACAAGCAGGGGGATGGGCAGGCAGAGGGAGAAGCAGGCTCCCTGCTGATCCAGGAGCCCAATGAAGGGCTCCATTCCAGGACCCTGGGATTATGACTCAAGCCAAAGGCAGACAATTAACTGACTGAGCCACCCAGGTGTCCCCGTTCAAATTTTTTTAAGAAACAAGTGTTAAGCATAAACTATATATCAAGTAATGTTCTAGGTGAGTGAATAGTTGAGGATGTAGCTGTGATTAAGTTGTAGATCAATGTTAGGTTATTAATGTGGGTTTTATATTTCCTGTAGATTATATCATGTTCCACAATTATAAAAACAGTTTTATTTCAGTTGAAATTAAGTGAAGTATTTTACATAATGTAGGAGAGAAATAGGAGAGAAATATATTGAGAGAAAAGAGTTGATTATTCACTTTTCACCCAGTTAGTTGAAACTGGCATTTAGTAATACATCATGCACAGAGCAGACCTAGTTGTAAATCCAATAATAGTATTCTATTCTCTCCCTATGATTTTGTAATGAAACCATGATGTCAAACAAGACACCTTCTTCAAATCTTCTGAAAGTACTTATTTGTAATGGAAACAACACACAGAACTAATTGTAGGACATGTACCTTATTTAAAAAATCAATAAGTTGGCGACATCTTAAGTGACAAATTATAACATCTCCCATATTAAAATAAAAGAAAGCAGAACTCTTTCTCTGAAAAATAAATCCTTGCTGCTCCCTCTATCCCTTCCCATCCTTCAAGCATTTTCCTACTCCATTTTACAGCAGGGATCCCTACAAATGGGATACATATAGTTTCCACTCCTTCCCAGCCTGTTCCTACCTGTTCCTGGTCTCATCAAGCATCTGACTCCAGGACGCTATTGAGACATCTTTCATCAGTCACCAGTGATATCATGTTGCCACAACCAGTGGTCGACTCTTCCTTCTCTTCCTGACCCATCATTAATCTGTGACACAGATAACTCCCTTTTCCTTATCATACTTCCTTCACTTCATACCCCATCTGGAGGTTTTCTTTTAACTTCAAACAGTTCACCTTCTTGGTCCTCTTTGTAGGATCTTCCTCATCTTCCCAAGCCCAGCTTGGGTTGCCCAAGAGCTTGATCACTGGCATCTCTTTCTTTTATAACTATTCTCACTGCCTGTCTGGTCTCACCTATGTTCATGGTTTTATGAATAAATACATACTATATATGTACTGACAACGTCTACTTCTAGACCTCTTCCCTCAATTCCAGAGTATTATTTTGTCTACCTGACATTTTCATTGGGTTGCCAGAGAGAATATCCAGTTACCACAAGAATACCTCAACTTCTAAATCCCTTCTCTCCCAGTTCCATTATCTCAGTAAATGGCACCAGTATTTGCTTAATTACTTATATATGTCCACACTTTTATGACCAGTTCATTCCAAATTTTAAGACTTCTCGATAGATAAAAATGGGCATTGAGTAAGAAATGTGTTCCCTTCCTGATCCCAGACTTAGAAGAAGCAAGCAAACAAGCCAGAAAACAAAACAAGTTTCTTAGAAAAAGATTTAAGCTCTAGCTTTGGAACCACTACTGAGGTTGTCAGTGGTCATCTAGGGGCACACATTTTCCGGGAACCCAAAAGAAATGATGTTGGGCAAGATGCTGTTTGCCTTAGGTATAGGATTACCTAGAGAGGGTGTGTGTTTGCACAGAAAAATCTTTACGGCTATAATAGAGCACCTACAGCTAAGAAGAACACACTTGGAAGAAGTTGTACGAGTCTGGGAGGTGTGAGTAAGAGAAAATCCAGCCTTCTGGAACAGTAAGAAGTTTAGGGGGCCATTTGTGGCCACTTTGCGATTTGGGGAGATCCTTGTTGTTGAATAAGCTCACAATGGTCTGATCACAAGACAAAGATGTAGATGGGCAGGGAGGAAGGCTATTCCTTCTCGATGCTTGTTTTCTGTAAGCCGCCATTGGCAAGACTGTCTACTACGTGTAGGCATGGGAACCAGTTAAAAAAAGTGTTGATTCACTAGAGTGAAGCTGAGAACTCACTGGCCTTTGTGTGTGGTGAATGTGTCCGGAAAAGCAAAGAAGGACAAGATTCTCCTGTGGGGTTTCTCATCTCCATGGTGGTAGGTGCTGACAGCTTCAGAGGGAGCAGGAAGGAGAAAAGAGAAAGGAGCCTGGGATGCGTAGTTGCAGTGCTCTGAGGAGATGAAAAGGACACCGGGTTTGGGTCTGAACTTCATTATCTGGAGCTAAGGTAAGACCATTTAGCGGGTTACAGAATGATCCAAGCCTCAATGAATTGCTTGTCTGGTCTTGAGCTCGTTCTTGCTTGCATGTATGCCTGCTATAGGCACCTGAAGGGTGCTTCCTTTGGCTCTTTAATGCCGTACCATCTATGGGTGGGAATAGTCTTTCTTTCTCTCATATAATCTCTGGGGAGAGCTGAACCAAACAGATTAAGAATGTGAGTGCCATTTATAGATCAGTGAAGGGAAGTAACATTCGGAGAACGAGAGAGACTGAAAGCATGATGACTTAGCCAGCTGAACATTACTTATTGCCGGGGGTTGGGTGAGGGGGGCGACATGGAAAAGGATGAGTCTTTAACCTCCGGTGGAAACAATCATTCATAAAACCCTCTTTTTTGAAGGTTTCTGTCACCCTTCCACTGTTCCAAAGTGACAACAAAGTGGCATCGAGAATTTGAAAGGCCGTGTTAAAACATGCTGTCTTTGATTTGTAATTCATTGCGTCCTTACTGCTAAAAATAGAGACGGAAATACTGGAAAGTCGTACTAGGGGAAAAAAAAAAGCTGCTAAAAGTTAACTCCAGTACATGATAAGCTTCTCAAGCTGTAAAGTCTGATGAGGTACAAAACCCCTGAGCCTTCTAACTTTTTAAGGTTTTCTTCGACTCCTTGTTGTCTTTTGATTTGCAGTCTGTACTGTCACTATTCAGTAAAGAGCATCTGTTCCATTCCGTGCCGTTAGCATCCCATTTGGCCGGGGAAGGAGCAGAGGCTGAGATAATACAGGTCATCTACCTGGAAATTCCAGGATGGCAGAGGTGCATGGCCATGGCACATAAACATGCCTTATTGATGAAACTCCTGAAGCTTTTTTTAAAAAAGCCCCTTCCCCTGCTCTTTCTTTGATTTTAATGAGCCTTGACATAATGCTGAGAGTTTAGGAGCTAGGGATAATATCCCCAGAGGTTCTGAAAGCCCATGATCCTGCAGGTAGAGCCCAAATTGGCTGCTTATCAGAAGCACGACCTTCCCGAGTTACCTAGCTTCTCTCTGCCTCCTTTTCAGACGCCTGTAATAAGGTCTGTCTCTGAGATATCACTGAATCTCATTTGATAGGGTATCTGGCACCCCATGAGCACAAGCTGCGTGGAGACAATGGTTACTGGCTCCGTGTTAGAGAGGAGGGAAACTGATGTGGACGTAATAGTGGATTACAAGCTAAGCTCACAGTAATATCTCAAATGACTTCACTCCAAGGAGCATATCCTCCGGTTTTCAGGCTTGAGAGAAGTCTGGCCGATTGCAATTTTGTCATAAGGAAGGTAGGCTCCTGTTGCATTGTCAAAGGTATACCAGCCTCCACCTGCTTCTGACTTGGTTTTCTGACCAGCAGTATTGAACATTCAGACATCCGCCTTCTAGCCCTGGGCCTCACCTCTTTGATGAGCTGAGTTTCTGCAGCCCAGCGATGCGGGGCGGGTCAGTTAAGATATGTTGGGCCGGCACGGTGGGTGATGAAAGTCAATGAGAGAGTGAGGGCGATGTACTTTTGTGTAGACCTAGTTTAATGAAGGCAAATCAGTCACTTCACATTCTGATCTCTTGCAATCAAAACTTCTGTCTCTCTCATGGTCACAGGAGCTGCTTCAAATCAGCTGAGGCAAAATTCCTAGTTTGTCCAAGTGCTAAGCTCCTGACATTATAGGACACCTACTCGTTGGCAATGCTATCTGATTTAATTCTCTGAATTACCCTTTTTAAAAGGAGGGGATCAAAGATGGAAAATAACTACTCTGAATTCAGCTAGGTACGTGGTAGAGATGAGATGCAAAGAGAAATCAGTCTGACTCCAGTAGTCAAATCTAACAGATTAAGGCAAAGGTACTACTTTGTTTCCATTAAATAAATAATGTATCTGGAATGATAGGTTGTGATAGGAACCTGGGTAAGGCCTTTCTGAGACCAGACCATCAGAACCTGAATTTGGTTCACCTCTAAGAGACGGTCTGCCCAACCTCACAGTAGGACTCAGGGTCATCTTGGAACACAAGAGTGAGCTGATCCAGAGGCATCTCCTGCCCTTGGAAACTTCCCTGTCAACCATTACCCTGGGTTTCTCTAATTTTTTTGCTCTTTAAGAAAAATCCCATGATCTAGGCTGAGGGTGTGTGTGTGTGTGTGTGTGTGTGTGTGTTTGTTTTTAGTTTAGGGCATGCACAGAAATACAAAATGAAAATAAAAACAGAAGCGAAAATTAAAAAAAAAGTGAAATAAAAAAATCTCAGTATGATCTTTCCTATTTCTATGACAATATGGCTTATAATTTTTAAAAAAATCAGACGACTCAAGTGTGTTTACTTTAATGAGACAATGAGGTCTTTCAGACACTTTATTTTTAATCCTCTTGGCCCGTCTTTCACCACAATTCACCTTATAGATTTGGAGTAGATGCTATTTACTAGTTAATGAAACACCACACAAAAATCCTTAAATCTTTGAGCAAGGGACCTTCAGAGTTACATAGTTGAAACCTCCTAACAAGTCCAGGAAATGTCTGTCTATCCTTTAAGCTGATCATCCAAATTCTGAGTAGAGAGTTCTAATATTTTTTTAAAGATTTTATTTATTTATTTGGCAGAGAGAGAGATCACAAATAAGCAGAGAGGCAGGCAGAGAGAGAGGGTGAAACAGGTTCCCTGCTGAGCAGAGAGCCCATATGCGGGGCTCGATCCCAGGACCCTGAGATCATGACCTGAGCCGAAGGTAGAGGCTTAACCCACTGAGCCACCCAGGTGCCCTGAGAGTCCTAATCTTCATTCAATTATTAGAGATACTAACAATAAAAATATTCTTCTCGATGCAGATATTAAATTTGCTTCCGTTTCCATCCCACACCCAGACCCCCACCCCACCTTCTGTGGCATCACACAGCAAATACCTTTCTCTCCTGATGAATAGAGATGTCCCATCTCTGAAATTCAAGCCTATGAGCTTCTTGGAGCAGAGGCATGTGATGACCTCAGTACAATTAGTTCACAGTACAGGAATATAGTTGGTACTCAGCAAAGGTTTTGAACACATGACTCTATATTTTCTTTGATGTTTTCTTCTTCCTCACTTCCTGCTATGCTCCACGTCTTACCTTGATAGTGACTTCTAAAGAGGAAGATATCCAGAGTTGAACATCACATTTCAGGTATGAATTGTCTCCAGTGGAAGAAACTTTGATGACTTTCACAAGAAATTCTGTGTGGATGAAAATATTTTCGTTGCATCTTTGTCTTGATTTTCTGGAAGAGATATGTTTTTAAGCTCACTTAATCTTTCTTACTGCTCACCTCTGCTGACCTTCTGGGCTTGAAACAGATCAGCTTTGAAAGAAATCATTTGCCTATATTTCCCTGCTGTGAATTACTTTGATCTCTAGAGCTAAGGGCATTGACCCTACATGAGGGTCCCTCTGCTCCGGGTTTTGAGATGGGTCAATCCATAGAGCACCTAAGGGGTTCTGGAACACACCTTACAGGACTTACCCAGTATCTCTTACAGTTAGCTCTGCCCTGAACTTGTTTCCAGTCGTAGTGACTGAATTTCCTTTTTTTCCCCTGAGATTAGGTCCAGAGATCCACTTTCATCCTGATTCTGTTTCTAATAGCTCCTCTTCTCAATAAGGTTTCAAACTTGAGTAGTAGAATGTAATGAATCTCTTGTAGTCTTTTTTTCCCCAACATTTATTCTCTGAGTGACCCTGAATGGAGCTACTGAACTAGTTCAGCTTTAACTCTGCATCCTTAACATTGGGTTGATGCTGATAACTTGTTGTCAGAATTTGGGGAAAAATAAAAACAGATACATGGACATAGAGTGTCTGGCACTTAAGATGTCTTTCTTTTCAGGCTGAGGGTTGTATCTGACCCTCATCCTTTCTCAGTCTGGAGCCCAGATCCTGAACCCCAGCTCCCCACCTAGAGCCCAGTGACTTTGGGCATTCCCTCTTTAATGTGTCATGCTTGCCTGCTGGAGTCTGTACCTGCTACCTTGTCTCACTTCTCTTAAATTCCCCACCTCTGTGTGTTCCCTTCCTTATTGTCCCTTGGCCCCTCCATGGGTGGCTGTTAAGTGATTAACTGTAATTCTTTTCTCTCTTTACTCTCCTCCAGCCCATTAGCTGTAATTCTTTTCTCTCCTTACTCTCCTCCAGCAGCTCAGCTAAAGCTGTGTCCTTCTGCAGTTGCGTACCTGGGCTTGCCTCCAAGCACAGCCTGTGCCCCACTCCAGTGGAAATCCTAAGTCCTTAGCTTTGACCTTAATAGTCTGGCCGTCGTATTACCTAGATCTGCATATATCTGATTTGATACTTGGAAGGGTCCTGCCATCTTCTCCCTAAGTTAGTGCTCACAGCCATTCAAGGTGACCCTTGTAGCCTCCTAGACCCACATACTGAGAGCAAGAAGCTATGGCTGCTGTACTCTACCACCAGCTGCTTGGTCAACCTTGGCCAATACCCTCAAGACAGAAGACTCAGGATATGCTATCATTCACCTACAATGTTATAAGATACCTCTCCATAGTGGAAGGTGCTACTTCTACCTAAACTCTCTGGCCTATAATGGGCAATACATTCTTCTCACAGGCCCTCAAGACAGGAGGTTCAGTGCATAGCATGGGACCACAAGGGAAAGATGCCAGGGTGGTCAGAAGATAGAAGACAGGAGCAAGGGGAGTGTCGAAGCCATGACCTTTATAGGGATTTGTGTGGGAAAAGCAAGGCAGTACAGGACGCATAGGTTAGGCTCTGTTAGTGTAAATAATTTTGGTGGGCTTGGGGCTATGGGAGTTTGACCTTAGCAGCTTGATACTTGGCTGTGGGATGACGAAGACAGAAGAATATTGCCTCCTTGAATGGACGGGTCAGATGGAGGAGATAGGGCTCTGCATCAGTTGGTTTTTATAATCAGAAGCATGTTCCAGGCTGGGTCTTTTGTTAGCTCAAAGAATTCCCTAG